TTAGGAGATGAGATGACGGGTCGCATCCCTGCTTGGTGAATGTGAGAGTTGTGCGTTGAGGGGTTAAGTGATTTTCTCAAGCTTGTGAAAATCATTCCTGATGTCAGTGGAAATTTTGGTAGAGCTTCGCCTCCCCACCTGGGGATTGTGAAAAAGGAAGGAAGGGAATCAGAGCAAAAGAACTTGGAAAGGCATGGAAAAAAATCTGAGCAAAAGAACGTGGAAAGGCAGGGAAAGGAATCAGGGCTAAACGAGAGTCAAAGTGCTTTCTCTTCGACCCTTCATGATAGTGCAGGACCTACTTGTATTTTGTACTTGACTGACTCTTGCGAGCCTCCAGGCACAAAGTGCCGCAATTCGGACATCTCCGCCGAATTGCTGGACACAAAGTGGTGGTCAAAACTGCTTCATTTGACTACGCTTCCCCGTTTGGGGAGTGTGCGTAAGAGGACTTGAGTAGCAGAGTGAAGCGTGGGATCAGATCCGGCGGTGGTGTTATCTGCAGAGGGTACAAAGGTTCTCTTTTTCCGTCTGGGAATTGTAAGCCTTGAGCCGTACGCCTGTAGTCTTAGTAATTTGGCGGACGAGTGACACAATTTTGCTTCCCCTGGGCATCCTGAGCTCAAGATTAGGCTAGAACGGGGAGTAGGAGATCTGTGGAGTTCTTGTCCTCCTCCCTGAGGTCGGACGAGCATACGAGCAATCAGTTTATTTGTGACAAGTTGGACGGACATTATGGCTAAGCCTTGGGGTCGTTTTTAGAAGGATTGGGTTTGATTTCCTGAAACAGTCTCGTGTCTAAGATGGTACGACAAGGATCCCGTTGGGAATGAAAGTTAATAGAGGCTTCAGAAAAATAAAAAGAGTTCGAACTTTGTTAACAGGTTCGGACAGTGGGCACGGGAGTGGACAAAAAGCGATCGCGACAGAAGTCGCGTTAATGTCGCTAGTTCTATTGTAGCGAGTATAGTAATGTTAATATTATTAATAATATAAATGATAAATAATGAGAATTCTGATAAAGGTAGGAGACGGTGAGACGAATTTTGGAAGCGTGGTAAGGGTGG